TCTGTTTTGATTTATTTTTGGATATGATTTTAAAATTATTTTCTATATCTGTTAAGAAGCATTCAATTTTTGAAGGGAGGTAAGAGGGGAAGGGGTATTAAAAAGAATTAAGATGTGACATCACATACCCACAATCAAGTAGGTAATATGTATTTCAAACATGTGCTAGTAAAAACTGCAAAAAAGAAGTATCCAATTTCATTCTTTTGCATGTGTATATTCAGTTTTTCCAGTGTCAATTCTTGTAAAGACTATTCTTTCCCCACTGTAATTCTTGGTGCCCTTCTCAGAGATTAGTTGACCATTGATTTATATTTTTATTTTTAGGTTCTCTATTCTGTTTCATTGATCTTTGTGTTTGTTTTTTTGCCAGTGCCATACCATTTTGATTACTATAGTTCTGTGATTTAGAGGGAAAGTGATATCTTCAGCTTTGTTCTTTCTTGAGATTGCTTTTGCTATCCAGGGTATTTTGTGGTAAAAATAAAATTTTAGGAATTTTTTCTACTTCTGTGAAAACTGCCATTGGGAGTTTGATAGGGATTGCATTGAATCTATAGATTGCTTTGGGTAATAGCCATTTTAATAATATTAATTACTTCAATCTATGAACTATATATTTCTAATTAGTTGTGTCTTTTTCAATTTCTTTTATCAACATCTTGGCAATAATTTTTGGGATATGACATTAAAAGCACGGGCATAAAAAGTAAAAGTAAACAGGTAGAACTATATCAAACTAAAAAGGTTTTTCACTTCAAAGGAAACAATCATCAAAATAAAAAAGCAACTATGAGCAGGTGAAATATTTGCAAACCACATATTCAATAATAGGTTAATATTCAAAATATTCAAGGAACTTCTAAAACCCAACAGAAGAAAAAACAAAAAACAACATAAGAATAGACAAAGAACCAGAACAGACACTTCTTTAAAGGAAGACATAAAAATGGTTGACAGATATATGAAAAGATGCTCAACATTATTAATCATCAAATGAAGGTCAAAACCATGTTGAGACACCAACTCATACCTGGCTATTTTCAAAAAGATAAGAGATAAGTGGTTATTATTAAAAAGCATAGTTATTATTAAAAAGGGCAAGGCATAAGTGTTGGCAAGGGTGTGGAGGAAAAGGAACCTTTTCACACTGTTGGTAGTATAGCCATTATGTATGGAATTTCTTCTATAATTAAAAATAGAACTTCAGTACTCTACGATGCAGCTTTTGGGTATACAGTATATATAAAATAAGAGAAATCAAAACATCTAAGAGAAATCTGCATCTCCAAGTTCATTGCAGCACTATTAACAATAGCTAATAACCTAAGTGTCTATTATCAGATGAAAGGATAAAGTATAGTATATAATATGGGATATTATTCAGCCAAAAAAAGAAGACAGTCCTGCAATTTATGAAAACATGGATGAACCTGGAAGATATTATGTTAAGTGAAACAAGTCAAACACAAAAAGACAAATATTATTTTATTTCACTTTTATGTGGAATCTAAAAAAGTAAGACATATAGGAATAGAGTAGAGTAATATAGGTTCAGCAGAGATGGAGGTATGATGAGGGAGGGGAAAACTGGGTGATGTCAAAGGATACAGTTTGTTAGTTCTGGGTATCCAGTGTTCTGCAAGGTGCTATTGGCACTATGTTGCTTACTTGAAATGTGTTGCAGATTTTAGGTGTTGTTACCACATATACACATACACACGTGTAATGGTGACCATGGGCAGTGATGGGTGTGCTAATTAATGTGACTGTCATAATTAATACACAATGTACAAATATATCAAATTTCACATTGCATACCTTGAATGTATATGTAATTGGACAATTACATATTTCATTGTTTAAAAAGGCAAAAATAGTAAAAAATGAAACATAAATCCTCTCAAAGGAAACCTTTAGAAATTGAAAATGTGAAAGGCCTTCTAAATAATGATCAGGTTAGTATCTATAACTTCTGTACGTGTATCCTGTACCAGACACCGATCTACGAGTTCTACCTGTATTTATATATTTAATCCTCACAATAGCTGTATGGAGTAGATATTTTTATTGCCTCCCTATTAAAATAAACACAGCATTAAGCAGTACAGTTTATTATAAGTGTTCTCACAGAGATACAACAGATGTTAGAGATTCACAATAAGAACAGCAATTCAATTGGAGAAAAGATGGATTCATAGAAGCAGCAATAAGGGCCCGGGATTTAGCTCAGTGGTTCCGCCTCCTGCCCTGCAAACGCAGGGACTCGAGTTCGATCCCCGGTACCAAAAAAAAAAAAAAAAAAGATACAACCATAGAAGCAGAGAAGCAGCAATATCTGTAATATGTCCAAAAAGGTTAAGAAGTGAAGGCATGAAATACTGAATAAATCCTAATTCCCTGGACATGGTTAACATGTTACCGCTTAAGAGCCGAAGATCTAATTCAGGTTTATTAATTTATACTGAAGGTGCCTGAATGAGATAGGTAGTTATTGACTGTTTGGGAATTGTCAAATATGACCCAAAGGCTCTTTTTTTTTTTTTTTTTGAAACTTAGGCTGAAATATTTGAGCAAATGAGGTTTTGTGTTTGTTTGTCCCCCCCCGCCCCTGTACCGGGGATCAAACTCAAGACCTTGTGCTTAAGAGGCAGACACGGTGCCACTGAGCTAAATCTCTGACCCTGAGCAAGTGAGTTTTCTAACAAGTGAAGCCTTAAACATCGGAGGACTGTTCTAAGAACAAGCACAATTTCCGTATTCTGCAGTAGACAACAGCAAGGGTCAACTGTTCACACACTATCATTGCCCTGGAGTTGCTCAAAAGAATTCTTGCTGGGAGTCGGGGTCTTCTCAGTGCCAGTGTTGCGTGGTGAGCACAGAAATACTTTTACGTATATCCATCCACCATAACTTCGTATGTGGCCCAGATGCTGTTCTGCTCCACAGCCCACTCATTTCTTTGATGCCAAATACTTCCACTGGCTTTCTCTAAGGAGAATGAAGATCCAGTGCACCGGGAGTCTTATGATTTTTTAATTTTATATCCTTGACTTTTGCAAAATGGACCAGCAAATTGGAAATTGGAAAGATTTTTGCAAATAGAGACAGTGTAAACGTTATTTTCAATTGTATCTCATGTCCATGTTTTATAATCACTTTACTCTTTCTGAGGTGGCAGAGGGAGAGAAAGACATCAGCATTACAGCTAGAAAACAAAATCAACAACATATTTTTTATCATATGGTGCAATTTAATAACAGCACAACAGAGGGAGGCTTGAGAATAGCAATAGAAAAGTTTCTTAGCCATTTGAACTGCTAGTATACAACGAAAATTTATATGAACCTCTTGAAGAATCTCATTTAGTTTCCAAACAGTATCTGCCAACAGTGAAGTCCAGAACAACTCTGCAGCTGTTATTCATAATAAACACTCAGAAATATAAAACTATTTAGCCATGGATCATGGGAGTTTTCAACAAATATAAGTCTGGAATGCAGAGCTTATACTGTGAATTTTATGCAAGATCCTCAGAAATCTTAAAATAAACAGCAACCAAAATTAGCTGTTGCTCCTACCTAAATATGCAAACTTGGAGTTAAAAGCACATGGTAGGGCTTTTACCTGGGAAGCACTGTACTCATTCCAAGTAATAAAAATGTAACAGAGACATAGGGTTTTTTTTTTTAGAGAATTGTGGATATATTAATAAGGAAGGTTACTATGAAGGTTAAAGTTTCTATTAGAATCTGAAATAAAAACAGAGCCCTTTTCTGGTTTACATTTATGATTCCAAAATGATGATTTTTCTATAAGGTTTGAAGATATTCAGACTATGGAGACAATGTATCTTTTATAAATTTATTTTTCAATTGACTTGTTTCTCTCCTGATCTCCAAACCCCACAAACACAAAAGACAAATAAACACAAACATTTGAATGTAATGAGAAAGGAAGAGGTTAAAAATAAAAGTAGGTAATTAGATTGAGTTATCATCTTTAACCAGAGAAGTGGGTTTACTTTCATACCACTTATTTTTAGCTCCTCTACAAATGGTTTTCTTTTAGCTTAAATTAAAGTATTGTTTGTAAAGCTATGTATGGCTTGGTATTGCTTATAAACTTCAATGTGCATTCAAAACACCTGGGGAATCACAACTAACCTGAAGATTCTGACTCAGTAGCTCTGGACCATGGCCTTACAGTCAATTTTTTATAAATTTCCAGTTGATGATAATGTGGTAGTCCCTGGACCACATTTTGAATAGCAAACCTCTACAGTTCAGAATATTTCTCCCTTGAGATGGTTAGGAAGCTAAGGATTCTGCATACTTCGTCCTCTTCTGGGAATAAATTACATCAGTATATTGAATGGCTCTGAAAAACTCAAGATTTTTGTGAAAAATACACATGTTCATCTTTGTTCTGTTGAGTGTTAACCTAACTTAAATGATAAATCCTATAGAATTTCCCCTTCGCATTTTAAAAAATGGAACATTAAAATCAAGGAGAGATTTAGTTCTATGGTACACACTTTTAGAGACACTGGCTCAAAAATAGTACATACTAATTGACCCATTATTCTAAATCTATTTCTTTAACAAAGAATATATTGCATTTTTTGAAGTTTATATTTCATTTCTGAAAAGTAAGAAATATAGACATTCTTGCACTTGGTGGGAAGAGTACCATTTTCCTTTGGTAAAATCCCTAGTAAGGGTTGGCTACCCACAGCTCCTTGTGGCCAGTTTTTGTACATAGCTATGACTGGTTCTTATATTTTTAAATGGTTGAAAAAAGCCAAGTGAAGAATAATGTTTTGTGATATAAAAATTGTATGAAATTCAAATTTAAGTGCTCATAAGCAAAGGTTTATTGAAACACAGCCCTTCCATTCATTCATGTGCTATTGATGGCTGCTGTCACTATATGAAAGAAAGGTGAGTAGTTGCAACTGAAACTGTAAGACCCACAAAATAAAAATATTCAATTTTCAGCCCACAGAAAAAAAATCTGCCAACTTCCTCCATAATGGACCTGAAGAACATAAGATTAAAAAGGTAAACCATATGGTATTTTATATTATTTTCCCCATCCTAATTTTTAAAATTAGAAAGTTTATTGCTTAAGAATCAGAATTAGGCCATGTGTTTTGTTCAGTGATACTGCTGAACTAAAAACTAAATGCATGAGTGGCATTTGCATTTAATTTTTTAAAGATTTAACACCCAGGAGGATTTCAGGAACTCAAGACCCAACATCATTTGTGTTATCACACCATTCAAGATGCATGGAACATGGAGCTTGTGACATGGAAGACTTCTATTTCTATAGAGCATCATAATGGGTTACTATGTACGCGTGACCCCAGCAATTGTGGAGAGCAGCAGAACTCTGCAACGGGGTGGGGGACGGGGCAGAGACAGAGACAGAGAGGCTGAAATTATAAATTGCAGAACATGAAACTCCTTCAAGGAAGGGCCTTCAAACTTTCCAAAAGAATGCAAAGAGACAAATGCTTAATGAGGAGGATTTTGTTGTGGAAACCTGGAAAGGGCGAAGTTTTACATTCAAGATGAATGATAGCTAGAACCCAAGAGAAAGCCAAGGAAATTAGTAGGAAAATGTGGGAAGGCATTAGGATTTCAAAAGTTGGTAATTGAATGGTTTGAGACCATCCTATGTAAATGTCCAGGGGAAGGAAGATGCAACTAATATTTGACATATAATCAATACATATTTGTTGAATGGTGAGCTGCACAAGTTACTTTACTTTGTTAAGTCTTATTTTGTCTTCTAGCAGATGGAGACAAGAATATCTATTTCTCAGTGCTGTCGTGAGAACTAAATCCCTATGAAGCATGTGGCCCCGTACCTAGTGTATAATGGGGTTTCAACAGTTACTAAATTATGTTACCATTGCTTTTATGTCCTCATTCTGAGAATATTGCTAAGCAGATAGTAGGTGCTCAGATGGTATTTGTTGGGTATAAAATGGAAAAATTTGTTCCCATGACTAATGTTAATCTAGCATGAAACAATGTATATCTTTTTTTTTTCCGGTATGGGGGATCAAATTCAGGACCTTGCGCTTGCAAGGCAGGCGTGGTCCCACTGAGCTAAATCCCTGGCCTGTATATATATATATATATATATATATAAAATTTTTTTTTTTTGGTACCAGGTATCAAACTCGGGTCCTTGCACTTGCGATGCAGGCATCAGAACCACTGAGCTAAATCCCCAGCCCTAGCCTGCATATCTTTAAAAAGTGTTCCCTCTTATGTTTTGATGTTAAATGAAAGGAGCACCAATAGGAAAAAGTGCCTGAGCCGTTATGAGTTGGGATTGATGTAACAGTGAGCTCTTTTTACTCACAGTAGCCTTAACATTATGAAACCTATGCGGCCCTGGAAACACATTGTCCCTACACTGTTTTAAAATATCACCCAAATGGACCACAGCCCATTGATGATACAGTCAGACACAAGTTTGACTGAGACAAATAAGCAATGAAGACAGCAAGAAAAACAATTATGCCTTTTACAAAAATGTGAAAAAGGGAGCTATGTGAGGAAAATGTTCTCTTTCCCTGAGAGCATTTTAGAAAACTGAATGTTTCACCCCTGGCTGTCTCTTCATCTGAAGACATGACAACTTCACAGAGGAAAAGGAACTTTGAGCGATGGCCTGTCTATGACCTCCAGCAGAGGTTAACTGAGGTAGAAAACAAATGTACCAGATCTTCTCCTGCATGATCGGAGTGCACATCTCCCAACCTTGCCCGCATCATTACAAAGTGTTAGAGCTAACCCTAAAAAGGACTGGATTTAGGAAACTCCTCCTAACTGAAACAAGAGCCAGAGAACTATAAAAGTTTGAATCCAGATTTCTTTTCCTTTGTGTGTAGTGCAGTTCTTCATGCATGTTCCCTGACATTGTCTCATTTGATTGTGCTGTCCTCTCTAGGAAGCACTCAGGTGTAATTACCCTCCACATTAGACACAAGGACCTCAAAACTCTGAGGCAACAAGGGTTTCATCCAGTTTCCCATGGCTCAAAGGTGCCAGAGATGGAACTAAAAATTTTAGCCTTTTCCACTGCTCTTTCTGTCACATCACACAGTCTGGTTCAGGAGTCCTTGGGGTAAATGTTAAAGAGCAAAGGGAAAAGGAAGCCTATGTACCTTCAGGCCTTATAGTTTGCTACCCACAGGCTTAGCTGTCCTTATGTAAAACACATGCCAAGATGACATTTATCATATTGAATGTGCATGCAAAAGTGACACTCAGCTTGAGGGGGACTGGGTCATGTTCATGAAAAAGGCAACCACAGATGAAGTTTAATGTTCGAATTGTGTTCTTTCATGAGAAAGGCACTGTTTCATGAGACATTACTTTTATTACTCTCATCTATCATAGTTATTTCACTGAAAACAAATTAGACTTACACTATTTTTAAATGCTTATATTTTACAGGTATATTTTGAAATGTCTTACATAAAATTTATCTTGAAAGTTATATTAAAGAATCACCTTTTTTTAGAGATATGAAAAAACTAGATGTCTGAAAAATATCCCCTCCACAGATTACACTCAAACTACTTTATCTTCTTTCCCTTCTGAAATTTGTGAAGGGACTCCTGAATGCTTAAAGACTCTTGAATTTCTTTTTGTAAAAACACAGCCTAGAGGTTTTCAATAAATATGAAATATACAACATTATGTGCATAGATGTATTTCCTTTTTAACAATTAAAAATCAGAAAAATTGACCTGTGAGGATAGAGTTTTATACTGTACTTATTTATGATACATGTTGCATAAAAGGAAGCAGAACATGTCAATGGCCAATTTGAGTAAGATTTAGGAAACTTTTTAAAAAGACAAACATCTGAAAGCATAAACTAAATGCTTCTTCTTTTAAACATCTGGAATATTAACCTTTAAATCTTACTTGGAATAGTCTGATGTGAAAAAGAGTTTAATAGTACCTTCTTTTGTACTGTAAGGTTAAACAACACTATAATGCTTTTTAACACTTTAAATAAAATTTGTTCCAAATACTTTTCAACATGTGAATCTGCGTGTGTGTGTGTGTGTGTGTGTGTGTGTGTCTGTGTGTGTCTGTGTGTGTAGAAGGGGTATGGAATGAGATGGGGCACATTTATTTGAGGGGAATCTAATGGTGGATGGAAAGAATAAAGGAAGCCAATTCATTCGAGCTGTTGAGAAAGGCTCTGGTTTTCGCTTTGTCCTGATTTGGAGATACAGATATTTGTCTTGATCTGATTATTTTTTCTCCCCAGTTTCACCAAACTATTGTTGTGTGAAGTGTGATGTACAGGGAAGCCTCAGTGGATCACAAAGACAGAAATCCAATTACAGGTGCTTTGTGTGTAGGAAGTGGATATTGACCTACCTGTTTATAAGGGAGATGTCCAGGACTGAATTAGAACTTTCTGAGCAGCACAATTTAGACATTATATATAGCCAGTCTATAGGATCTAAGTACATGTATGCCACTGGAGATAAAGCAACTTTTAATTATATTTTGGAGATTTTAAAACATTGTATTCTGAAGTACTTGACAAGCATCACTACAATTTTTGGTTTATGAATTGGATCTTGATCATCTAGAATCATTACACTTTCAGGAAATCCATTTCTATAGAGGTAGATACAGATAATTAAATGTTAAAAATAGGAATGTTTGTGATAGTCTTCTTTTATAATATCATAATCTTTTCAGTTAATTATTGTTCTAGTTTTTTCTATTTTAGTGCGTAAACCTTTAAAATTAATGAAGTGAATCGAATTGTTTCATGAACACACATAAACTGTATGCCAGTCATCATTATATCCCACATGGAGTTCAGAACTTCATATCACATATCAACTGCTTGCATTTTTAAGATTATATAATGCAGAGATAAGCATCGTGCGTTCATGAATGTTTGACATTGTTTTCAAAATTTTACATGTATGGATAAAGTCTTTGTGTGTGCGTGGTGTATGTGATAGCTTTTAATAAACTGTCAGAGGAGTCCACGACCACCTTTCTCTTCCCAGAGAAACCACAAATAATAATTAAGCAGAACAGTTTACATAAGACTATTAAAACACAAGAAGCTAGAGACCACATTTGAGCACTAGTTTCCCTCATTTCCTGCCTTGTCCACTGTGCTTGCTGTGGAGGCTCATTTTGGTCTTAGGCTCCTATGTGTGCACAGTCAAGTTGATAATGAGAGATATATGGAATGGCTGCTTCTATTGCCTATTCTTTAATTCTGAATAAGTACCTATCATGAATCTTAGTTGGCATTCCTGTTATTGTGAACTCATTGGGCATTGAAGAAATAAATTTAAAAATTTTCTTTTTCATTCTCTTTCTGTAACTGCCTAGAATTTTAGGCCTGGATATGGGTCTATAGCAAGCAGGACTGCAAATCTACCCCACAAAAACAAAAAACTAAACAACAAAAAACAACCTTTATCAGATAATGTATACTTGTCATCTTTTTACTTTTTCTATGAAAAAGTCATACTTTTGCCTTGAAGTTTCTTAGATAATATTTAAATACTACATATGCCAACTATGTAAGAGGAGGAAAGAGGGTATCCGTCTTTGCCCAGGCTCTAATTGTGACGCCTTCTCATCTCCAGTCTTTCGGTAGTGCCCAGTTCTTTACTGTCTGCTCCTAATTTGCATCCTGGCCCCTCTCTCAAAGGGTGAGAAGGGGAGAAATGAAAAAGAAAAAGTGTGAGACCAAAAAAATCACATTTCAAATTGGCTGAGATCTCTGTTTTCTTTATCTTGAGTGGGCTATGGAAATATTTTTCCTTGGATTTATTTTCCCATTACTTGAACTGCTACCCTCATTAAGGATCTCAATACACTAATTTCACTATGGTTTTCATGGAATTAGGGAATTATATGCATTCACTTAATATAATCTGATTCATTTTTTTTTAAAAACCCTACTTATATGAACAGTATATTTATCCAAAGATTCTTACATTGAATTGTTTTAGAACTCAAAACACCCAGGTTAATAACAT